GGAGGGCTGTCCCGTGAATCGTCTGTACCCATGAGATGCCAGTGGTACTGCCTGCCCTATTATGACAACCAAAAATGTCTTTCAACATCACTAAGTATTCTAAGCGTAGCAAGTTGGGCAGACTCTTTGCTAGTTGGGGACCACTGAGTTACAAGAGTGTAAAAACTTGAGGCTGTGGCAGGCTTGGGAATTAGATCTTGTGGTATTTTTGGAGAGTGTGTCGTTGATGTTTTGCTAGGCTGTCATTCTAAACAATATGGGAACTCTAGAGTGCCTCTCATATTCTGGAGTAGATTCCATTTCTTTGTTTTTTGTTTTTTGGGTTTTTTTGGTACCAGGGACCGAACTCGGGACCTTGCACTTTCGAGGCAGGCCACCAGCACCACTGAGCTAAATCCCTGGCCCTCCATTTCTTTGTTTTTGAGACAAGAGTCTTGTTATATATTCCATGCTGGTCTTGAACTCACTCTGCAGCCCAAGCTGGCCTCAAATTCACAGTCCTCCTGCCTCAGGTCCCCTAGTGCTGGGATTATAGGCACATACCACAGCTTCTATATTTTAGCACATTTAAATCCAGGGGCATTTTTTTTTAATTGAATAAATTTATGGAGATAAAGTTGACATAAACTGGTCATAGTTAAAGTATATAATTAGGTAAGTTTTTCCCTGTGTGTACCCATGAAACTATCACTGCAATCAAAATTATGAAAAAATTCATATTACCAAAAGTTTCCTTGTGGCCTGGGGATTTAGCTCATTGGCACCGCCAAAGTTTCCTTGTGTTCCTTTTTAATCCCTCCCTTTTGCTCACTCTCCTTCTTTCCTGAGGCACCCTCAGATATGGATTTTTAGACAAGGTTTAAAGTAGATTATTGTGGACAATTGTGCTGGGATCAGATTACATTCATTTAAAACTTTGATAAAAGCTTCTTTACTTTTTTTTTTCCACTGGGATCGAACTCTGGTCCTTGCGCCTGCGGTGACACCACTGAGCTAAATCCCCGGCCCAAAGCTTCTTTACTTTTGAAGAGAAACTTCCCAGTTTTTGAATATTCATTTAAATAAACTGACCAGGGCACATGAGATTTTATGTCATGTTGACTACCAATAAAAGATACCATAGTGGGTATTGTTAAAAATTTAAGCAGAGGAATTTAAATGGTCTAATTCAGGGTTATATCAATACAAAAGTATGTGGCATAAATTAAATGCACGTTAAAGTGAATAAACTAATTGTCCTAGCTTTTGGAATAGGGTAATATTTGGTCTACATATACTGGTATTTTGAGCTTACCCACCCTAAAATGATCTTCATTAAGGCAGTAATATATTAAATTTAATCTAAGTGAAAAAGGTAAGAATCTCCTTTATTTTTTTAATTTTTTGGTACTAGGGATCGAACTCGGGTCCTTGCACTTGCACAGCAGGTGGCAAAACCAGTGAGCAAAATCCCCAGCCCATGAAGCTCCTTTAATGATGTTGGGTTTTTCATTTGGATTTTAATAATCATGAATAAATGTCTGGATTTCTAGGAGGCCAATTTTTTTTTTTTCTTTTTTTTTTGTACCGGTGATCGAACTTGGGACCTTGCACTTGCAAGGCAGGTGCCGGAACCACTGAGCTAAATCCCCGGCCCAGGGAGGCCAATTCTTTAGTGTTATTAAAGATATTTTAGGTTGTAGAACTAGAAAAATTGAACTTTACTTTTCTTGTTCTTCAGAGTTAGCTTCATCACTGCCCTTCCGCATTTCTCAGAAATTGTTGATTTTGCTTCCCTATCCAGCCTTCTTCAGAAGCTCCCTGTAGGGTCCAGACCAACCTACTATGCTTATTTTATTTGGAAATTATGATTCCTTTGCCTGATGCTTTGGTGCTACTTCCCACTTTTTATTTTACAGCACACCCCAGATGACTGTTTAATGTTTGTTCACTTTAGTGTTCCTTCTGTTTTTTACCCCTATTAATCACTTTTTAAAAAATAATCGTATCTAGGTCCAGGGATTTAGCTCAGCAGTGCTGCCGCCTGCCTCGAAAGCACAAGGTCCCGAGTTCAAGTCGGTACCAAAAAAAAAAAAAAATAATAATAATAATAATGTCTTCATAAATAAGTTCTGATAACGGTGTAAGCGTCAAATCTGAAACAGTTGTATAGTCCATCCAATTTTCTTAGTATAGATTGATCATATATTTCAGGAAGAAATTCCCTTGCTCCTTTGCTCAGATATGTGACCTTGAACAAGTCAGTTTCTTTGAGCATCAGTTTCCCTGAAAGGAGGAGGTTATGGTTCATCTGCTCATTTGACAGAACTGTTACAAGGAGCATATCAGCTAGCAGTCGTCATGCATGGAAGACTTCGTTGTTGGGAGGCAGGAAATTTCTTGTTCAGTCCTGGGATCCTAACACAGTGCACAGGGGCTTGCTGATTGGTAGGCACTTGGTAATTATTTGGGGGTGGATGAATTGGCAAAGGTTGTAAATAGCTGTTTGTTGTCTGTGAAGTTACTGAAATATTTTAATTTCATGCTATATACCCTCTATGTCCTGCTTCATCTCTAATTTCCAAGATGTAATTGAAGTGTTATTTTTATAGAGTATTTCCCTAACTGCACATCTGTTTCCTTTCCAGATTTATAGTACATAGATATTTATACTGCTTGCAAATTGTTTGTATTGTTGGCTTTTTCCAAGATTTTAAGAGTATTTTCAAATATACAGCAAAGTTAATAGACTTTATTTTTTCAAGTATTTGCTTTATGGTACATCTGTCTATATATCTATCCCTTCATCCATGAATCTAATTTCTTGATGTAATTTTGTAGTAAAAATTGCAGGACATTAGTACACTTTTATCCAAACATCTGAGTGTGAATAATGTTGTATTTGATTGTGGTATTTTTCTTTTGATGCAGAATTTATGTACAATGAAATGCACAAGTCTTCAGTACATTCTCAGTGTGTGGGCATGTACATGCATGAGACCACAGCTATCCCATAGCTTACTTTTCTTACTTAATATGTCTTTACTGTAGAAGAACTGTTATCTTTGTAATTATTGTGTAGTTTACTATCCCATCAATATTTTTTTTAGCTATTGATAGATATTTACATTTTCATACTTTGCTGCAAGATATACTTGGCAAATAAGGTAGAGATCTATAAATGGAATCACTAGATTAAAGGGTATGCACATTTTAAGTTTTCATAGATGCCCATAAGTTACCAAATAGGCTACATCCCTGAAAACTTCCACTGTTTTTTTCACTCGCACTGTTACCATTTAGTTACCTTTCTTTTTTTTAATACTGAGGCTGTACAGTATATCATCTTCCCTGCTAGGTTTAAGCTTTTAGAGGGCAAGGGGCCAGTATCCTCTAACACTCATATCTGCTCATTGTTTGCTAATTGAATGAATGAATGCTGCCAAATTATTCCTGCTTTACTAGGTTGAGAATGCAGAAACCATGAATTAGCTAAGTGTGTGATAGGTTAAAGAAAGCAGAAGTTGCCCGATGCATGTGTGCCTTAAATAAATAAAAGATGCTTCATTTCTTCTCTTCTGTGAGACATGGAACCATGGGATGATTAAGAATCCAGGCTTTGAAGGCAGGTTTTGTGGGTTTGTGTCTCAGCTTTGCTTCATAATAGTTGTATAACTTTGAGCAGTTTATTTAATGTTTGTGTTTCAGGTTCCTCATTTACAAAATAAAAAATTGCAATACTGGTGCTTTACTTGGAGAGTTGTTCAAAGTGTTTCTTTTTTTTTTTTTTGGTACCGGGGATTGAACTCGGGACTTTGCACTTGTGAGGCAGGCAGCAGAACCACTGAGCTAAATCCCTGGCCAGTTGTTCGAAGTGTTAGTACTTGTAAACTGTATAGAATGGAGGACATTCATTATATTTTAACTATTGCTGTTATTTTGAGAATTCAGCACAATCAGCCTTCCATATCTCTGGTTCTATGTTCATGGAGTCACCCAACCAAAGATGGGAAATATTGGGAATGAAATGAGGGGTGGAATTTGTAGTGAACATGTAAAGACTTGTTGGGAGGCACTGGATTGAACACAAGGAGTGTTAAACTATATTCCCAGTCCTTTTTATTATTTTCTCTTTAAATTTTGAGACAGGATGTCACTAGGTTGCCCAGGATGGCCCCAAATTTGTAATCCTCCTACCACAGCCTCCTGAGAAGCTGGGATTACTGGCCTGCACCACCATACCCAGCTCACTTTTCCTTGTCATTGTTACCTAAACAGTATAGTATATCAACTATTCACATAGTATTTACATTGTACTAAGTATTATAAGTAATTACAGATTAAAGTATATGGGAGGATCTATAAAAAGCTATGGGCAACTATAGCACCATATTATTTACTCATTTGATTTTTGTGGGCCTAAGGATTGAACACAGGGTCTTTGCACTGAGCTACATTCCCCAGGCCTTTTTTATATTTTGACGGGGTCTTTCTAAGTCACTAACTTGCCCAGGTTGGGTTTGAACTTGTGATCTTCCTGCCTCAGCCTCCCAGAGTGCTGGAAATACAGGTGTGTGCCACCTCACCTGGATGTACCATTTTATATAAGGAACTTGAGCATCCACAGATTTTGGTATCCATGGGGATTCTTAGAATCAGTTCTCTGTGGCTGCCAAGAGATGACTATGTCCAAGTGTAGTTAATCTGCAAGGAATGCAAATAAAGTTGAAAAAACTCTACCTTAAAAAAATGAAAAAAGAACCCTACCTTGAAGAAACTTACAGATCTAGAGGCTGGGGATTTAGCTCAGTGGCACTGCACCTGCCTTGCAAGCACAAGGTCCTAAGTTTGATCCCTAGTACCGCCAAAAGAAAAGAAAAAAGAAACTTTAGATTTGAGGCATGTTTCAGGAAGTGCTAAGATATTTGGTAGTATTGGAAAGCAGGGTGGGAACTAGAAGATAATAAGTTAAATTCTTCCTCTAGTCATTAAAGTTTGTTTGCTTGCTTGCTTTTTTTCAGACAGGGTCTTGCTGTGTTCCCCAGGCTAGTCATGAACCCTTGGGCAAAAGCAGTTCACTCCACCTGTGCCTTGTGAGTATCTGAGACAACAGGGCACAAGACACTGCACTGGATTCTAAAGCAGGGATTTTATGGGCTAAACTAAGGAGTTAGAATTGTATTTGTAAGTGATAGGAAGCCAGGCATGGATTTGCAGCTGGGTCCCAGGTTTATGTTTGAGGCAGGGCATTTTAGAAGTAGTGTAGAGGATGCACTAGGGGAGAGGGACTGCAGAGTATTGGCAGCAGTCTTGGGAGGGAGCACATGACCAGAAGGAAGCCGCTAACTGGAGGGGCAGCTAGGAGATAGAATCCCCACAAATGCCTGAGTCTCTCGGGCCAGGGCAGCCTCTTTCAGTGTGAGGAGTGGTCTGGAAAGCAGACGTAGGAGACAGATTGGACTAAGTATTTTATAAAACCATAATCACATTATGAAAGAAAATATTTTTATAGGAAAGAAAGAACATGTACTTAGAATAAACCTTGGTGGTTTAGTGTTTAATCCATGAAAACTGAGTATAGTTCTTTTTTTTTTACTTTTAAATTTTCCTGTAGACTGGCCCATAGATCAGCAATTGGGAATCACTAATGTAAGATAATTCCTTCTCTTGCAGATAAGAACACAGGAGCGAGGTTACAAAGCTTTGTGTGAAAGTTTGGACTGGAACCCCGACTTTAACAAGTATTCTAGTGTTTTCTCCATAGTCTTGTACTGTGCTCTTCACACACATTTGATTTACTGTTTTTAAAGTATTGGCTTTGGTTATGGAGATTAATCATAGAGTAGTTCAACATCTCAGCTTTAAACCAATAGAAACCAAGATCAAACTGTGGTTTAGTTCATGGATAGAAATAGCAGCCAAAAATTCTTGAAGACTTCTTGGGTTTTTGAGACAGGCTGGCCTTGAACTCACTTTGTAGCCCAGGCTAGCCTTGAACTTGTGGTGATCCCACTGCCTCAGCCTCCCACTTGCTGAGATTATAGGCATGTGCCACCATGCCTGGGTTTGATGACTTGTATTCCTTCCATTTATGAGACCCAGTTCCTTATTTCAAAATGGGTTGAGGTTTGGTGTACATAGATGACCAGTGGCTTTTCAGGTATCAAATAGCTTGTATAAATCTATTTCCAGCCCCTTAAAATGTATGAAATGTTTTGAAATATTAAGCTAAATAATGCTACTTCATACTAGGAAAACAGCCAGTTAACATATTTTAAGTTACTTCTCCTCAGCAGCTATCACCAATCTGTTTTCATTTCCAGTTAACTGAGTTCAGCATACTATCACACACCAACTTGGGAAACTTAGTCCTTTGATCTAAAGTTACAAACTGCAGAGCATATCTGTGGCTTGAGATTCATAAAGAAGATAATATTAAAAATGGCTTGCTTGCAAATTAAAGAATTGTGCTGCTGTGTTGGGGCCCACCTTTCGTTTGTGAAGTGTAAGAACCTGAGATCCTATTTCAGAGATGAGGGTTGAAGTGGGAAGCAGGTTGCCAAGATGGTGAGGACAGAGCAGGTGAAGCGGGTGGCCTGGTGAGGACCACTGCCCGCTCCAGGGATATGTGCTGGGGAAGGGGCCTAGAAACTAGGTGAATGCTTTTTTTCCCATTTACAAGAAGAGATTTACTTAAGATGAGGGAGTAGATTGCAAAATCTCCTACTGTTCCTGTAATTTGCATGTTCTTACCACAGGAGCGTTGTCTTGTTGAAGAGTTTCTATGACTGGCAAAGTGAGGCTTGGCCTCATGTTGTCTTAGAATGGTTTATGAAAGCTTGCTTGCGTGCTTTGCTCTGCTCTTTTTTCTTTTCCTTACTTTTTCCTTTCTCTTTTATGTTGTTTTCTTTTCCCTCACTTCCTAAGTACTCTGGCACTGAACTGTATCCCAGCCCTTTTTATTTTACTAGGCTCTTCGGGTTGGGCTTGAATGTGGATCCTCTTACCTCAGCCTCCCAAGTAGCCGGGATTATTATAGGCATGTGCTCTCCTTTCATGTTCTTGTTTCTCTCTCTCTCTCTCTCTCTCTCTTTTGTTTTTAGACAGGTTCTCACCATGTAGTTCAGGCTGGCCTTGAACTCACTGTTATAGCCCAGGCTAGCCTCAAACTTATGGGAGTCCTTCTGCCTTAGCCTCCCAAGTGCTAGGGTTACAGGGATGTTCCTCCACATTTGGGTTTCATGTTCTCTTAACTGTAGTGCATTCTGATGTTAGAAAAGCTCTGAAAAAACCCAAATAGATTCCTGGGTAAAGTGCTATTTGTGTCTTCTTGGAAGGAAAATGTACTCTACAAGGTTATTAAGCTAACAAAATGTCATATGTTAAAGGTTGTTAGGTCAGAAGAAAACCTAGAGCAGTGATGGCGAACCTTTTAGAGACCAAGTACCCAAACTGCAACTCAAAATCCACTAATTGATGACAAAGTGCCAACACTGCATTTAAACCTGAATCCTGAGGTTTTAATTTAGAAAAAAACTCGTATACTTAGCTTGCATGCTGACAGAGAAGGCTCTGTGTGCCTCCTGCGGCACATGTGCCATAGGTTTTCCACCACTGACCTACAGTAATCTAATTTTTTTTTTCTATTGGAGAAACTTAAAATCACATGAAATAAGGCATTTGTTGAAATTACATAGCTTCTTAAATTGATAAGTGTAGAACCTTTGTCTTTTTTTTTTTTTCTGGTACCAGGGATCAAACTCAGTACCTTGCACTTTAGAGACAGGCAAGGTGCCACTGAGGTAAATCCCTGGCAAACCTTTGTCTTATTCCTGCCCCACTGCTCTTTCCATAATAACATTTAATTGTTAAAACAATTGATGTTTTAAAAATTAGACCCTAGTTGTCATAGGTTTTGAGAGAAGTTAAGAAGAAACTAATATTACACAGCATGTGAATATTTACTTAATATTAGGAATGATAGCATTTGAGGAGCAAACTAGAAAAATGAGGAAAAGTTTATTAAATTAAAGGTTATTTTTCAACTTAGTAGAACCAAATTAGTGAAATCTGTCAAGTTTTTGTCTTTTTCATTTATAACTTGTTCATTGTACCGTGTGTGTATGTGTGTGCGCACCCGTGTGTGTGTGCACTGCCTACACTGCCTACCCAGTGATCATCCCTAAGATAAAGTAGATAGGTAATTAGTCCTGGCGGTTGAGCCCAAATGAACTGGGGCCATCAGTCCTGGTCCAAGTTCGTGCACATCCCAGGGAACCAGAGTTGACTTGCATGTCATTGTGCTTGTTCTCTGCAGGCTTTGTAGTGCATCCCTGAGCATGAACGCAGAATGAAGCGGCGTCTGGAGGACCAGGAGTCACCGGTGTATACGGCTCAGCAGCGGAGGATCCCTGGCAGCACAGAGGCTTTTCCTCACCAGCACCGAGTGCTCGCCCCCGCCCCCCCTGTGTATGAAGCAGTGTCTGAGACCATGCAGTCAGCCACTGGCATTCAGTACTCGGTGACACCCAGCTACCAGGTGAGCCGGGCCAGCCCAGCACTGGGAGTAATGGGAGGTTCATTAGCTCATCAGTTAAAACACTTTTCACTAAGCTTCAAATTTGAAATTGAAAATTATTTTGGATGTATAAGGTGTACAAAATAGCAAAAACAGTATATACTTGTACTTGTGTACTCGCCACTACATAAGTTTAAAAAAAATGTCATGACCTTTGAAGTTTGTATATCTCTTTTTTTGGTACTGGGGATCGAACTCGGGACCTTGTGCTTGCAAGGTGGCAGAACCACTGAGCTAAATCCCTGGCCCCATGCATTTCATTCTGACCCTCATGGCTCGACCCCACTGTCTGTTCCCTTGATTTTTTTTTTTTTTTTTGGGTGGTACTAGGGATGGAACCCAAGGGCTTCATGCATTTGAGGCAAGCATTCTACCAGTAGGCTGCAGCCTAAGCACTGCCCTCCTAGCCATGTGTCAGATTGTTTACTTACTTTTTTGACCTAGCAGTTCATTTTTAGGAATCTATTATAAGGAAACAGAGAAGAGGGAAATCCAGATTAAGGAGGAAAGGCTGAGTCTTTAGATGTTCCTCAGGGCTTTTGGGGGGTCGGGGGTACCGGGATCAAACTCGGGACCTTGTGCTTGTGAGGTAGGTGGCAGAACCATTGAGCTAAATCCCCGGGCCCTCAGGGCTTTTTTGAGGTGGTAGAATATTTGCAATGTAGGACTAGGACAGCAGTCAGAAAACTTTTTTTTTTTTTTTTTTTTTTTTTTGGGTACCAGGGATCGAACTCGGGTCCTTGCACCACTTGCACAGCAGGCGGTGAAACCACTGAGCTAAATCACACCCCATGTCAGAAAACTAACAGATGGATTTTTTTTTTTTAACACTGGGGATTAAACGCTGGGGATTTAGCTCAGTGGTTCCGGCGCCTGCCTCACAAGTGCAAGGTCCCAAGTTCGATCCCCGGTACCAAAAAAAAAAACAACTGGGGATTAAACAAGCTTTCGTACTGAGGTACATCCCTAGCCCTGTTTTTTAATATTAAGACAGGGTCTTCCTTAAGTTGCTAATTGCCTAGATTGGGCTTGAACTGTCCATCTTCCTGCTTCAGCCTCCCAAAGTGCTGAAATATCAGGTGTAAGCTATGTCCAGCTCTAGATTGAATCTTTTAAATTAGGATTTAGAGAGGGAAAAAGTTGTTTTCCTTGAGTGGTTATTTTTATTATTTGAACAGGTTTATGACTGTTTCTTGTACCTAGGGATTGTTACATGTATTCCTACTGAAAACTGTAATGTTCTTGTATAAAATCAGCCATCTTAAACATTTGTAAACTACAGCTAAGTCTTGTAAAAATCTGTAAATTTATAAAACCTGTAAAAACATACATGTTGGACTATAAAATCTCAGAGTAATAGCCCTTCCTCTGTTACAGCTTGTCAGGTCATTTAAATAGTTTCCTTTTACTCCTGACACATTTTATATTGTTACTGTAGATTTACAAATAGTTGGCTTTATCTCCCCATTCCCCCTGCTCAGGGCAATTTTTTATAGACTTGTGAGGATTTGAAAAAAAAGGCTCATTCTCTCTTAAATTGTGGTGCACACTATATTGCTTAAAGTAACTTAAGTTTCATTTTACTCTCTTTACTTTTTTTTTTTGGTACCAGGGATCGAGCTGAGGACGTTGTGCTTGCGAGGCAGGCAGCAGAACCACTGAGCTAAATCCCCGGCCCTTTAATACTTGTTTGTTGGGGGTTGGGTTTTTTTTGTTTTGTTTTTTTTTGGTACCAGGGATTGAACTCAGGACCTTGCGCTTGCAAGGCAGGTGCCGGAACCACTGAGCAAATCCCCGGCAAGTTTCATTTTGTTTATTCTCCTTATTTTGGGAATGAAGCAATCAGATACATTGATATTAGTTATCTTCTTTAATGATTAAGAGTTTTGAAATTATGAAAATAAAAACACTCTGGAAATTAATAAACTTGTGTGTGTGTGTGTATATATATATATATTTTTTTTTTTTTTAATTTTTTTTTTGGTACCGGGGATCGAACTTGGGTCCTTGCGCTTGTGCAGCAGGCGGCGAAACCACTGAGCTAAATCCCCAGCCCCAAACTTGTATATTTTAATAATAGAAGTGGAAGGAAAGGCAATTCTAATTTGCCCTTCTAAATTTGTAAGAGAACAAGATAGATTGAGAAACAGAATAGAAAAGAAACAGAATAGAAAAGAAATATATTTGAAGCCAAGCTACCAACAACATGATGAAATTTTTTTAACTTTATAATCATGTATCACTTACTGATAGAGACACATTATTAGAAGTGGGTTGTTAGCTGATTTTGTCATTTTGTGAACCTCACTGGCTTATATACACAAGCCTAGGGACAGGTCACTGCCAATCAGGAAAAATGGTCAAACATAGTAAATGTGTGGCTGCTATCAGCAGAACGCATCATACTGTTTTTTGCAGTACACTTCTATTAATAAGTAGGACTACACTTGAAAGTAACAACATAGTATAACAAATATATAAACCAGCCACATCATTCATCATTATCAAGTATTATGTGCTGTGCATAAACTTGCTGTACTTTTCTGCAGCTGGCAGCAGGGTAGTAGATGTGTTTATATCCGCATCACCACAGACACATGGGAGCTGTGCTGTGAACGCGTGATCCAGTGTCACTACACAGTAGGAGTTTGGAGTTCCATTAGAATTTTATGGGACACCATCATATATGTGATCCATTGTTGGCAGAAATGTCATTGTGCAGTGCATGACTATAATACCTTAGCAAGTATAAAGATATGCAAAATAAGCACAAAAAAGTAAAAAAAATTTTCTAATTTCACCTTCACAAGATTAAATACTAACATTCTGCTATATGTTTGTTATCTAGGGCTTAAAATATTTTTAATATAAAAATATATACATCTATATCTATATTCAAAGTCTAGTCCACAATGGGTGATCTGTACAAGCTGTTATTAGCCTCTAGTGAGATAAGTACAGAAGTTGTATAGCAAGAGGACATCATAATTTATATATTTAGAATCTAATAATGAAAATTATGGGCTTAATACTTTTACTTTTTCACTAATTTATTTGTATGGTATTTTATAAAAGTAGTGGTTTATGACAGATTGGAATTTAAGAAAATATGGACCTTTACCAGAGATAGTTTAAGAAGCATTAATCTATATAATTTTTTAATCTTTATAATTTTTAATAGCTACAAAAATCTCTTATAGATGGCTATAATTTACTTCACTAATTTCCTTTCGTGGGAAATTTGAGCTTCTAATTAATTAACTGTGGACATAGAAATATGTAGGCATGGTTTGTACATTTGTATTATTTCTCTCAATGCATTTAGAGAAGGATGCACGGAAATTTCTTGTTTGTATTTTGTCCACCTCAGGTTTCAGCTGTGCCACAGAGCTCTGGCAGCCACGGGCCCACCATAGCAGCAGTTCATAGCAGCCACCATCACCCAACAGCTGTGCAGCCCCATGGAGGCCAGGTGGTCCAGAGCCACGCCCACCCAGCACCACCAGTAGCACCAGTGCAGGGACAGCAGCAGTTTCAGAGGCTCAAGGTGGGATTCAGCTCTTTTTCTTGGGTCAAAAGTTTATCTTTAGAAAATATTGAATTTGACCTATTACAACATAGCAAAAGAGACAAGGTTTTGACTCCCAAGAAGTTTCACTTTGGTTTTGTTTTGAAACCTGCTTGAATCTCCCATTTTGGCTCCAGTGCCTAATCAAGCAAAGAATACTTTCAAGAAATGTTTGTGTACTATGAATGCGTGGAGCTTACCGTATTAGGATTGAAGAACTATTTTCAGACAACATAAAAGTTGTTTTTTGTTTTTTTTTTGGTACTGGGGATCGAACTTGGGACCTTCTGCTTTCAAGGCAGGTGATGGAACCACTGAGCTAAATCCCTGGCCCAAGGTGTTTTGTTTTGTTTTGTTTTTGAGACAAAGTCTTGCTGTGTAGTCTAGGCTGGTCTTGAACTCACTATGTAGCTTAGGCTGGCCTGAAACTTGTGACAATCCTGGCTCAGCTTCCTGAGTTCTGGGATAATAGGCATGCACCACCATGCCCAGCACAACATAAGGTCCAGTTTTTGAATGCTTTCTTTTGAACTCGTAGTTCTTAGTATCATATAAGATTTTATTGAGCACACCCATGATTGGCTACAGCCCTGTACAATAAGTCAGACCAGTAATATGTCTTGCAGTTTAATCTTTTTATTTCTATTTATGAATAGCTCGATTTGCTGACATCTTCAAACCCAGCCTCAGTAAAGCATGTGGTCCTTCTGGATAAAGTTGGTAGAAACTAATTGTGAAGCTTGAGTACATGCTGTAAGCTTTAGTGCTTTGAAATGCATGAGGCATTCTGGAGGAGGGGAACTTGTGTCTGTAGATAACCTGGTCTCTTTTTCAGTGTAACTTTGCAAAATGTGTGTTTGGAGCAAGTGCTCCAGGTTTCAATTTTTCTAATTTTACACGTGTAAAATTTTAAATCAAGTGCAGGAAATATAAATTAAAATTATAAAGAGATAAAATGTTAGGCCTTTGTTTGATCATAATAGCGTAATTATATCAAGTTGCAGGTAGGAATGAACAGTATTCCTTGAGGACACATCCATGTGTTGCAAACCTTTCCATTTTCTGTTTCCCTTGACACAGTAGTTCTCCTAATCTATGATTTTGCTTTGTGCAGTTCTGGTGTCTGCTTTTTGAATTACCGGCAGTCAAGTGTAGTCCAAAAATACTAAATGGAAAATTCTAGAAATAAACACTTAACAAGTTTTAAATCCCATGGCATCCTAAGTAGTGTGATGAAGTGGGTCGCTGCCCTTCTGTCTCAAGTGTGATGTAAATCATCCATTTATTCAGCATATCCACACTATATACTCCCTGTCTGTTGGTCACTTCATAGTCCTTTTGGCTATCAGATCATCAGATGGACTATCACAGTGTCACAGTTCTTACATTCAATTAACCCTCATTTTACTTATCATGTCCCCAAGGTCCATGAATAACTGATGCTGGCAATTCAGATATGCTTAAGAGAAACTCTGAAGAGCTTCTTTTAAGTGATAAGGTGAAAGTTGTTTTTTTTTTTTTTTTTTTTGGTACCAGGGATTGAACTCAGGACCTTGTGCTTGCAAGGCAGGCATGGTGCCACTGAGCTAAATCACTGGCCCAAGGTGAAAGTTCTTGATTTAAAAAGGGGGAAAAATGTAAGCCAAGGTTGCTAAGATCTAAGGTAAATGATTGTTATTAATTCTTGCTGTACCTACCTTACAAATTAAACTATATCATAAGTATGTATATGGAAAAACATAGCATCTACAGTTCAACACTACCTGAGGTTCAGGCATCCACTGGGTGACTTAGTACCTAAAAAACTGCTGAGGATGGGAGGAGTCCTGTACTACTGAGTTGAGCTTTCCATGATAGCTGTCCTCACTGGTGGGCTCAAGGACTTATTGAATATTAGCCGAAGGACAAAATACTACCTAAATATCAAAGGCATAGCAAAATAAAGCTGTGTGTAGAAGAAATCTGTAAAATTTATTATCTATGTGGGCTTAAGTAATTAAGAGTTGACTAAATTATAGACTGTAAAGAGAGTGCATATTATTTGGGCCCTTCGGGGAAATTTGGTGTTTTCCTTGAAAGGTTTTCATACTCTGCTTGTTGAGTGATGGCTTTGTCACAAAATATAGTGCCATTGTGAACTGAGCATTTCACCAAGTCTGAAAATTTTTTTTTTTTTTGAAAATATTTTTTAAGACTCAGAATGATTTAACCCAGTATTGCTCTTTTTTTTTTTTTTTGGTATGGGGATTGAACTCGGGATCTTGCGCTTACAAGGCAGGCAGCGGAACCACTGAGCTAAATCCCTGGCCCTAATCCAGTATTAATACTATGTTCTTCAGATAATGCCTTAATTTCCCCAAAATGCTTTGTTTTTTTGTTTTTTGAGACTGGGTCTCACTGTCTAGTTCAGGCTGGCCATAAACTCACTACGTAGCCTAGTCTGGGCTTATAGGTGTGCACCACCACAACTGGCCAGTTTCCCAAAATGAAGCTTATAAGTTTGTTCTTAAGATAACAAAAATATATTTATTTCTGTAGTCTTTCTCGGGCCGGGGATTTAGCTCAGTTGTTTCGCTGCCTGCTGCGCAAGCACAAGGACCCGAGTTTGATCCCTGGTACCAAAAAAAACCCCTAATCTTTAGCCACCTGCCTCTGTAGTCTTTCTCCATGAGCTCTGAGAAAGCAGTCTGTTTCACTCATGTTCCTCCTAGGAATTGAGGGTATGAGTATATGGATTGTGTTTTGTTTTATAGAAACTGGCAGAGGGCTGGGGATTTAGCTCAGTGGTTCCACCGCCTGCCTCGCAAGCGCAAGGACCCAAGTTCGATCCCCGGTACCAAAAAACAAGCAAACTGGCAGAGAACAGCTTTCGATTTGGGTTATGAGTAAGTCTAAGGCAGAGTTGGTACTTCTTGTTCTGTTTTTTAGTTAGAAGCACTTGACTGTATATCTAAGTACAGTAACTTGTTGAATTTTCTTTCTAATGAGGAAAGGGAAAATGCTTCTTGTACCTTCATGTAATTTAACTCAGTTTTCCCACATTACCTATCATTTTTGGATCAGTCTTTAAATGGTTTACAAGCATTTGAGTCAACTTCAATAAACCATTTTTATTGTATAATAATGTTCAATGAGAGTGCTTAGATAATGCGAAGCATTAACATTTGTTATACTTTTTTGTCTTTGGATAGGTGACAAGAAGGGATTTGAATAATGCGAGGCATGTTTGTTGTGATTGAGTTATTTGTTAAATTGCCAGCACCACAGATTTTAGCACATACTTAGCAGGTTCCCTTATGATGTCTTCAGCAAAACTGCAGACTTCAGGAGGTTTGCAGATAGTTTTGAAGGTATTCTCTACCTTTATAATAAATGCCTTTTGAAGTGAGTCAGGAAAATTCACCAGCAGAGTCCCCCAAAGTTCTCCCTTAGATCTGTAGCTTCTAAATACAAGTTGTAGTTCTTGAAACTGTATACATGCTTTTATCAAGAGTTGATCTGTACTTTACATAATTAGATAACTTCCTCACTATTCTTTTTTTAAGAGTAGAAAGATATTTATTGAGAGGATAGCTCCTGAGAGGCAGGAGGGGTCCTGAATGGTTAGCCCCATTCTAGAGGGGAGTTTAATGTAGTAAAACCCATGTGGGTACAGTGTGAGTGACAGTCATGATCAACCAATAAGGTTATAAGTATAGTCACTTATGGGCCGGGGATTTAGCTCAGTGGTTTTGCTGCCTGCTGCGCAAGCACAAGGACCCGAGTTCGATCCCCGGTACCAAAAAAAAAGTATAGTCACTTAGGTAATAGTGGTCCAGTTGGGAAAAGTCACATAACAAGTGTGGATAGAAAGAAGAAAGACTTCTAGGAAATGGTGGATCCAGAGGTCCTCTTCACCCACCGAGGTGGCTGATGTCTGTCTAGACTTTATTAGGCCCAGTGCTTGTCCTTTTAGGAGGTATACAGGTCTGGTCACCTTGTCTTTATCTTGAGGCCTGGTCTTCAACAGATGTGTCTCTGGCCACAGTTGTGATGTGTTTCACCTTTGTCCTGATTCTCTTGAGGACTTGGCCCTATCTGCCTACCTATAATATTTCTCCCTAACTCAGCTGTCTATAATACTACTATAGTTCAGATTTGTGATTGTGTTTGTTTTTTTTTTCCATTTAGTTTATTGGTACATTTTAGGTATACAATACAGTTACATTCATCATTGGGATCTCCTCACTATTCTTATGTACAGGTGTCGTGCTGGTTTTTTCTTTTTCTCTTGTAAGCATAGTATTATTTTACAACTAGTTTTTAAACAATGGCTCACTATGACCTTCAGTGCCTTTACATTCCAAATATACACACATCACACACAACTTCTTTCCTTTGGGTTTCTGAGCTTTTTCTCTCTCTGTAGTCTTTATTGTATGCCATATCATATTTATTTTATTTTTGGTAACTCTTCTTTGTCATCTGATAGTGAATGCTGTTCTTAAATATCTTTTTTTTTTTTTTTTTTTGGGTACCAGGGATCGAACTCGGGTCCTTCCGCTTGCGAGGCAGGTGGCGGAACCACTGAGCTAAATCCCCGGCCCATGTTCTTAAACATCTTTTGAAGTCTTTGTTCTTACTATAGACTTCAAGTTTTGTGTTCCATCAACTTGGCTATTAATAAAGTATTTCAATATGGAAAGTTTTTAATACAAGCTAAATAGTCCATTGAATGCCAGCAGAAACTGCCAACGTCATTTATAAATGTAGTATAGCAAACAAGTAGTAACCGATGGAGTATGCAGTCTGTGCTCTGAAACACTAACCATGTCCCGTGGAAATATGGACATGGGGTCTTGCTCCCCTAGTCTCCTAAATAGTAGGGACTACAGCCGTGCACCACTGTACCCAACTTGGACAACTCTTTCTTTCTTTTTTTTTTTGTACCAGGGATCAAACTCGGGTCCTTTGCGTAGCAGGCAGCGAAACCACTGAGCTAAATCCCCGGCCCAACTTGGACAACTTTTAAAAACCATTTGTTTCAGTCCATTAGTGCTGCTTTAACAAAATACCTGGGACTGGGTAATTTATAAGGCATAGAAATTACTTTTGATAGATCTGGATGGTCAAAAATCCCAGATCAAGGTGCCAGCAGGTTCGTGCAGGCCCAGTCTTTGCACCTAAGGTGGTACCTTACAGCACCATCCTCATGTGTCAGAAGCTTAGAAGACAAAAGGGGCTAGCACTGGTTCCTTCCATCCCTTTTGTTCAGTTGCTAACCCCATGCATGAGGGCTCTGCTTTTATGACTCAGCTCCTAAAGGTCCCACTTAATACTTTGGTGATTAGGTTTCAACTTAGAGTTTGGGGACACATTCAGACTATAGCACCACTTAATGCTTTATTTGAACACAAATGTTCCATTTCATAATATGTCAAAAAAAAGTTGGCTTATATCAAACCAGGTATTTCCTAACCCTAATATTTTGTATAATTTAAAACACTTATCCCAACGAACATAGGAAATACCTAATGAGTATTTCCCCTAAATGTGTGCTGAGTTACTAAATCAGACTCATAACCCTGCAGGCCTTCAAACCCTACCTCTTTATTGTGGGTCACTTTTGACTTTTTTGGGGGGGGGTACCAGGCATCAAACTCGGGACCTTGCGCTTGTGAGGCACGTGCCAGAACCAGTGAGCTAAATCCCTGGCCCTTGTGGGTCACTTTTGAATGCTAGCTCTTTGTTCTCTCTCATGTCTTGTCAGTCCTTGAATCCTATCATGTCAGCCTCCAGAAAAATCTTGAATCGGTGTGCTTCTTTCTGTTATTTGGCCAGTATTATAATTCCAGCTGTTGCTCACATGGTTTATCCAGTCATCCCTGTGCCTTTACTGGTCTTCCTACTTCTCTTCAGTTTATCCTGCTTTTCCATCATTATTTTTCCTCAACACTGGCCAAATTGAGTACACAAAAATGTGGATGATAAAGATCTAATTTGCTTTTGAAAAAGATTTACAAGTCCTTACTGGATGTAGCTCCTGCTTCTTATGTCTCCTCTCTTACTATTCTTCCTATCAGGACTGAGGCTGCAGCTAAACGAAACTGTTTCCAAACATACCACATGGTGTCTGGCCTGGGATTTTGCCCAGGCTTTCCCTGACTTTCCTTGCTGGTCTTCACCTTTGCCTACTTTGACTGATACTCAAGCCTCAGTTTGCCCATGGGTGTTCTTACTGTTGGGAAGGAGGGTGGTATTTCCTTGTGCTCCTTGAGGATTCAGTGACTTTCTACTGTGTGATGATTCCCATGCAGATGTGAACAAATTTCTGTGGAGTGGGGGCCCTCATGTATTTGCCATTGAGTTCTTAGTGTCTTCATTGGGCCTGCCATTTGGACCTTAGTGAATAGTAACAAAATTGATAAACAGATGATGTATTAATAGGATTATCAGTCAGTTACTGATCATTCACTCCAGAATTATCGAAGGCAAAGCTATTACAGATTTTATGTTTTAAGATTGAATTTTATTATTAGTATACATATAAATTTCAATACTTTCTGTATATATTTATATTTCATTTACTGTTTTGAGTTAATTTAGCCATAAATCACTTGTTTTTTAAAATAATTTTTGACTTACATTCTTTTAATAACTTTGAGACTTATCCCTGCTGCAGGTGGAGGATGCGCTGTCCTACCTTGACCAGGTGAAGCTGCAATTTGGCAGTCAGCCTCAGGTCTACAATGATTTCCTTGACATAATGAAGGAATTTAAATCTCAGAGGTAAAAGATACATGTGATATATTTAAGTTTGGCGTGGCAAGTTGGTTTTAGAGGGAGAATATAGCTTAGTCTTATCTGCTTGATGTCACCTTTTGGAGGTTGAATTTTCAGGATCTTGCCTTTACTTTATGTATTTATATATTGACTTATTGATGGAATTTATGGCCACTATTTTGTTTTTTCCCTCTTATCATTATTATTATTATTTTTTTTTTTTTTTGGTACTGGGGATCAAACTCGGGTCCTTATGCTTGTGAGGCAGGCAGCAGAACCACTGAGCTGAATCCCTGACCCCTCCCTTTTTTTTTTTTTTTTTTTTTTTGGTACCTGGGATTGAACTTGGATCCTTGCACTTGTGAGGCAAGAACCACTGAGCTAAATCCCCGGCCCTTCCCTATTATTTTTTGAGACAGGGTCTCACTGTGTAGTTCAGGCTGGCCTTGAACTCACAGCAACCATCCTGCCTCTGCCTCCCAAGAGCTAGGATTGCAGGTGTGCTACCACACCCAGCTGACATGTTCAATAATTTTATACTGTTGTATGAAAGTTTGGATTTTCCTTGGAAATTGTAGCCTTAGTCACTGAATATCTGCTGGATAGAATTGTTACTATAAGTGTATTTTTGTTAAAAATGGTGATCACGCCCCTTTGGGTCTGAAGCTAACTGACTTTGGGATTTCATTTCTTCATCTGTTTTCCTGTTTAGAGAAGACTTAGTGGAAAGTTAATTCTTTTCTTCCTAGGGTATTTTTCAAGCCTACCATTCACCACTTTTCTTTTGTTTTTTATCAGCATTGACACTCCAGGAGTGATCAGCCGCGTGTCCCAGCTATTCAAAGGCCATCCTGACCTGATCATGGGCTTCAATACCTTCTTGCCTCCTGGCTACAAAATTGAGGTGCAGACCAATGACATGGTGAACGTGACAACTCCTGGCCAGGTTCATCAGATCCCTACCCATGGCATCCAGCCCCAGCCTCAGCCACCACCCCAACATCCTTCCCAGCCTTCAGCCCAATCAGCCCCAGCTCCTGCCCAGCCAGCTCCTCAACCCCCACCTGCCAAAGTCAGCAAGGTGAGCACTTAAACAATGTCAAATCCTGTGAAATGCATCCCCTAGAAAGCTCCTCCTTCCCATGTCCCCTTTATAAGGCTCAGGAACATAGTCCAGAGAGATTTAATCAGAGAAGATCCATTCCTCATATGCTGTCACATAGTTCATGTTTACACACCACAGATTGAGATATCTGTTTTCATGGGGTTGTTTTTTGTTGTTGTTGTTACCTGGGATCGAATTCAGGACCTTGCACTTTCGAGGCAGGCAGGGGAACCACTGAGCTAAATCCCCAGCCTTGAGATAATCTATTTTCAATTAACAGGCTAGGTGTAATGGGGCACACCTATAATTCCAGTGCTGGGTAGGCTGAGGCAGGAGGATTGCAGTGAGTTCCAAGCCAACCTGGGCTACATAGTGAGAACCTATCTCAGAAAAACAAAAAATAAACACAACTATCAGGCTGCAATCTACCCCATCTTCTGTTTGTTAAATCCATGGCTGCCCCAGTCATAGTGACTGTGTAGAACATTTTGACAGCTTGGGCAGAAATGCTTTTTTTGTTGTTATTGTTTGAGATGGCATTTTGAGGTCACTTTGGAACTCTGAGGTTTAAGTAATGCTCTCACCTCAACCTCCCAAGTAGCTGGAACTACAGGCACTGGGCCGCTGCATCTGACTCAGAAATAGTCATCTTGGGCCGGGGATTTAGCTCAGTGGTTTCACCGCCTGCTGTGCAAGCGCAAGGACCCGAGTTTGATCCCCGGTACGGAAAAAAAAAAAAAAAAGAAATAGCCATCTTGTCACGGTCAAATTAGGCTACTGCCCTCATGGCCAGCATTTTATAATTTATTCCTTGATCAGATTAAGCCATCAAGCTAAATAGAAGGTGTTGATGCTGATGCTGATGGGTGTTTTTTGTGGTACTGGGGATTGAACCCAGAGGTGCTCTACCAGAGTTATATCCCCAGCCCTTATTTTTATTTTTAAATTTGGTTGCTTAATTGTGGTACTGAGGACCAGGGATATTCTACCATTGAGCTACATCCCTGGCTCTTTTTAAATTTTATTTTGAGGGCCCGGGATTTAGCTCAGTGGTTGCACTGTCTGCCTTGCAAGCACTAGGACTCGAGTTCGATCTCTGGTACGAAAAAATAATAATAATAATAAATTTTATTTTGAGACATTGCCTCACTAAATTCCCCACGGTAGCCTTGAACTTGCGACCTGAGCCTTTGCCTCCCTAGTAGCTGTCATGCGCTACCATATCTAGCTGATGGGATGTTCTAGATCTTGAACTACATTGTCTTACATAGTAGCCACTAGCCATATGTGACTATTTAAATGTAATTCACACTAGGCAAGTGATCTTCCATTGAGCTACACCCCATCCTAAATGTAATTCAGACACAGTTTTTCAGTTGCCTCAGCCACGTTTCAGGTGCTCAGTAACCACATGTGGTAGTGACTATTGTACAAAATGGTGCAAATAAAGAACATTTCCGTCAAGTCAGAGTTGTGCTGGAAAGAACTGTTCTAGAAGATGTTTTTATAAGGAGTTATTTCAACAATTGAGGTGTTGTCTTTGACATTAAAGATCTATGTAGAGTGAGGGTTTTTTTTTCCTATATATGCCTATTGAGCTAATAAAAACTGCACATGAAAAACTTCCCTGTAATTGGAAATGGCTCTGATTTAAAGGTTGTATTTAGAAAATTTGAGACTGAGATACTTCTACAAGAATGTGTGACCCCCCTCAACAGCTCCTCCCCTGTCCATTACGATTAGAGTTGGGCTAAAATGGCTTAGCTTGAGTGAATAAAAAAGATATTAGTTAATCGGATACATTATTTCTTTTTAGTTGGAACTTAACTGTGCTCCTGAGGAGAATAAAGACTTTTTTCTTTTTAGCCTTCCCAACTACAAGCACATACTCCAGCCAGTCAGCAGACTCCCCCTCTCCCACCATATGCATCCCCACGTTCTCCACCGGTCCAGCCTCACACACCAGTGACAATCTCATTGGGAACGGCCCCATCCTTGCAGAACAATCAGCCTGTGGAGTTTAATCATGCCATCAACTATGTTAATAAGATCAAGAACAGATTCCAGGGCCAGCCAGACATCTACAAAGCATTCCTGGAGATTTTGCACACCTATCAGGTAAGACATTTGCCTCTTCAGCCTCTCAACCAGGCTACACTGAGGCGTGTAGTCTTAAGAACCTGAACAGCCATTATTGTGCCCACTGTTTCTTATTGGGTATTAACCAGTTAGAAACTATGATGCCTGTTTGTGAACAGTTTTATTTTCCTGACTTGAGTACCCTATAGCATCCAGTTGGGATTTTAAAGTCAGTGGCCTATGAAATGAATGCCTGTTTTATTTTATACCGGAAGTTGAGAGGATAGTTTGTGTGGTTTGGTTAATCAAAGTAGAAGGAAGATAAATTTCTCTAGTGTTTTGTACTTTATCAGGTTAATGGCCCCCTGGCCATTCACATTTATTGCCCTAATTTTAAAAAGAAGTGATTGTCGTCTACCATCATCATCTTCTTTCTGAACTAAAAAGCCTGCAGTCAAAATAGTTACTAAGGACATAGACTTTCTTTCATGCTAAGTAGATAAAATAATATAGAAGTCTCAGACATCCTGGAAATGTTCAATGGTGTGTAATTCAAAACAAGGGACCACAAATATCACATCTTCCCATTTTAATTCCTCAGAAAGAGCAGCGAAATGCCAAGGAAGCTGGAGGAAACTACACCCCTGCTTTGACTGAGCAGGAGGTATATGCCCAGGTGGCTCGTCTCTTTAAAAACCAGGAAGATCTGTTGTCAGAGTTTGGACAGTTCCTGCCAGATGCCAACAGCTCCGTGGTAAGGTTCATTTAGAAAAATTACACTGTTTAAAATTACGTATTAGACAAGTTGAAAAGCTGCAACCAGAAGGGGACTTTCCTAGATGATTCTTACTTGCTTTGATCAGAGCATTAATCTCTTTCATATGTCTTAATCAGCTTCTAAGCAAAACAACTGCGGAGAAGGTTGATTCTGTGAGAAATGACCATGGAGGCACTGTGAAGAAGCCGCAGCTGAACAACAAGCCACAGAGACCCAGCCAGAATGGCTGCCAGATCCGTAGGCACTCTGGGACGGGAACCACCCCTCCAGTGAAGGTGAGTGTCAGGGGCCGCCCTGCTGGCTTCCTCAAGAGTTCCCTGTCAACAGGTACTCCAGGGCTGGTCTTGTGTGTCTGCAGCGCAGTGTGACAATCAATCCTGGGTATTCGTGGCATAGGTCAAAGAAACTCTGTACATAGCTTCTTAGCTGGGTTTGTAACACAATGTTAGAATAGCATCTGTCGCTTGGATTATGGTGCTTTTATGAGTTCTCCCCTATATTATCTCTTTTTTTGCTGTGAACTGTCATTTCATTTTTTTGTTTCCAAGGCTGAGACTTAATTTTTGCCTCTTTCTCATTTGATGCTTTAAACTTGCCTAGTGCTAAGAAAGAAGATTCTTTTTTTTTTTTGGTACTGGGGATTGAACTCAGGACCTTGCACTTGCAAGGCAGGCGGAACCACTGAGCTAAATCCCCAGCCCAAAAGAAGATTCTTGAGTGTGATAATTGTCTCAGAAATACGTTGATGATCTTCAGATCCCTCTTGTGAGTCTAGTGCAGATGCTTTGTGACAGCTCTGTTGGGGGCTCTCCTGTCCAGGGTTCTCTGTTGGGTTCCACATTTTAGCTGTATCATGGGAATCTCCATGTCAGGGCCCTCCAGCTGTAGCAGAGATGGTCTTAAGCACCTGTTAGTGACCCATCATAGGCTGCTACTTGTTACAGTCAACACTGATGGTCTGTCTGCCTGTGGAGAGCTAGCTTCGCTCCCCTTGAGGTCATGCACCTATCCTGGAGAGAGGATTAAGTTTGTATATTAGAGAGTAAAGGCTTCTGGGACGTCTAAAGTAGTGTGGAATATAAGAGAGAGAAATGTCTACAGAATTGAATTAAAGAATTCAGGCTCTTGTAAAAAACTAAAATAAAAAGGCTCTTGTAGTAAGAGATGACTTGTGAACAAGTGAATTGACTCAAAGGAACGACAAGGTGTTGCCAACATTTTAGAAGGACTCTATTAGTGCTCGTAATGGTTTCCTCGCTAAAATGTTATATAGGTAGCAGGAATCAGCTCAGAAGATAGGCTCCATTATTTCCTCTCACAGTTGATAGCCCAAAGGTGGAAAAAATATGTTGGAACTTACAATTTCCCACATCCTTTCCCTAGGCGGTATAAGCAAAGGCCAAGGCTCCCAAGAAAGTATACTTTGAGATGGCCAAGGTCAATGTGCTGCTTCTCACAAAGTTAATTTGTGTATTTATTCACAGATATAGTAAGAGATGGATTTTTTAAAGTAAATTTTTGCTTGACAGGGCTACATCATGGCCTGTTCTTTCCTTTTAGAGCATACTTGTTCTTTTTCTGTAGTACCTCAGATTGAAGTCAGGGCCTTAGTACTGAGGTATATCCCCACCCTTTTAAAATTTTTTATTTAGAGACAAAGTTTCACAAAGTTGCCCAGGCTGGGCTTAAACTTGTGATCCTCCTGCCTCAGCCTCCCAGAGTGGGGGGAAAGTTATTCCTTCTTTTAGGAAAATAAACTGAATAAACTATGTTTTCTTCATGAACTTTTAAATTGAAATGTTATTAAAAATTTGGCTCCTGGGCCGGGGATTTAGCTCAGTGGTGCCACCACCTGCCTGGCCAGCACAAGGTCCCGAGTTTGATCCCCGGTACCAAAAAAAAAAAATTGACTCCTGTCTACCCCAGACAATGTATATTAGGGCTTTTTACAAACACCCTTATATCTCTTTTTTTTTTTTTTTTTTGGTACTTAATTTTCCGACAGGGTCTTGTTAAATTGCTAAATTGCTAAATTGCTCAGGCTGAACTCAATCTTTTTTTTTTTTTTTTTGGTACCGGGGATCAAACTCGGGACCTTGCGCTGGCCAGGCAGGTGGTGGCACCACTGAGCTAAATCCCTGGCCCCCACTCTTATCTCTTTTGACCAGTAAGAAAAGAAGGTAGTGGTGTTAGATTCCAAATAACATTACTCTTAGCTTCTGTAAAAAGGAAGGACATTAATTCTAAAAGTCAAGTAATGCTGTGATCATTTATCAGCTGTAGTTTCAATGTTGGAACCAGTTGAATCTTGTATGTTTGTTTGTATTTTTCCTCTTTTACAGAAGAAACCCAAACTACTCAGCCTAAAGGATTCTTCTATGGCAGACGCCAGCAAGCATGGTGTTGGAACTGAGTCATTATTTTTTGATAAGGTGAGTATTTTGTTTTTTGTTTTCCCCAGTGCTGGATCTAGAACCCAAAGCCTCATACATATTCAGCAAGCACTCTGCTACTGAGCTCAACCCCTAGCTCTAAGGCTTTTTTTTTTTTTTTTTTTTTTTAAACATAGTGAAGCCTTTCAGTCTACTGTAAGTATAGAATAACTAAAGAAATTTGTGAAGTAGTTTGTGGCAAAGTAAGAGCTTTTTCCATGGTGGAATATGTCGTGTTCCTCTCAAAAATGTTTGGAACTTGCTGTTGTAGATATCCAGGTCTATATCACGAGCAGTGTTGATGCCTACACTAGTTGCTGAGCTCTTAGTGGCATAGGGGAGTGCAGGCGGCTAGAGATTGAACCCAGGCCCTTGTACATGCTGTGCATATTCTGTCACTGAGCTCCTCCCTGAACCCTTAGGGTGACTTAGGTATGTACAGTACATAGAGAGTTGGTGGGAATTCCGGTTTAGTGGGATGTTTCCAAAGATCCTCAGGTGTTTCTAATGAGCAGTCTGAGTGGCCAGTACTGGTATAAAGTTGTTTTGTGGGATCTTAGTTCGGCTCTTGCTGGGGGATCGGACCTCTTCCTTGGGGTTAACTTGGTGAATACATTAAGTATGTATATGTTAAATATCTGCAGTTTGTTTTAAAATTCAGGGGTAGAGCTAGGGATTTAGCTCAGTGGTGCCACCACCTGCCTTGAAAGCACAAGGTCCTGAGTTCAATCCCTGGTACCAAAAAAAATAAAATTCAGAGATAGAAAAAAATGGATATAAATGAAACAATTTAGGATGATTGAGGTTCAGTGAGTGTATAGGGTTCATTAGACTTTTGTCCACTTTTGGATGTTTAAGAACTAATAAACATTAAACAGCAAACAAACATGGGATTAAAAATGTATAGTACTGGGCTGGGGATTTAGCTCAGTGGTTTCGCTGCCTACTGCGCAAGTGCAAGGACCCGAGTTCGATCCCCGGTACCAAAAAAAAAAAAATGTATAGTACTGCTGGGGATTTAGCTCAGTGGTGCCACCACCTGCCTTGCAAGCACAAGGGCAAGGTCCCAAGTATCCCCAAAAAAAAAAAGTACAGTACTCTTTCATGTTTGTCTTTAAATGTCCATGGACGGACAGTTATTATGAAAGAATACAAAACTCCAGAGCCAGTCTTGTTGATAAACTGTATGGTTTGGTGATAGTCTACAGTGTCCACCGAAGGACCACAGTGCTATTTACTTTTGAAACTGAAATTCAGGTTGTCTGGTTGGTTTCTTTTTGTCTATGGCACTGAACATTTTTAGGTTTTGGGATATCAAAATGTTTAGAGTTTTAAATAGGGGGAGGAAAAGGATGAAGTTAGAAGACAAGTTTGTGTTTTTTTTTTGTACCAGGGATCAAACTCAGGACCTTGCGCTTGCGAGGCAGGCATGGTGCCACTGAGCTAAATCCCTGGCCCAGAAGTATCATTTTGAAAGCTCACTATTCAAGATTAACTAGTTTGAAAAAGGTGATTCTTGCTGCAGACACCTGTTAGGAAGGGCAGCAAAAGCTTGGGCAGCTCTGACATGGTCTGGAGAAGTAAGCATGAAAGAAGACTATCCAAGATCTTACTTGTACATTTTTAAATTCTTTTATTGGTACATTTTAGGTATACAGTATGTTTACATTTATCATTGGGTGCTTGTACCTGTACATGATGTATCTTGGTTCTTGTTTTTTCCCCATTACCTGTGTGCCCTTCACCCCCTCCACCCTTCCCTATTTACCTAGATTTTGTTTCCATTTTTTTTCTTTTCTCATAATTTCTCCTTTCCCTTCTTTCTTTTCCCCGTCCCCTCCCACCACCCCTCCACCTTTGGACCTTTTCCTATTTCAAATTATCAGTTATTCATTTTAATCATTTTAATCCTTATTTACACTTTCAGTTTCCCACACTAGAGAAACTATTCGGTATTTACACATGCATATATTATTTATTTCACTTAAGAGGAGGCCTCAATATGCATCCATTTAGCTATAAATGTCTCTAGTTTCTTTTTCTTTATGGCTGAGTAGTACTGCATTTTATTAAAAAACCACATTTTCTTTATCCAGTTTCCAGTTGATGGGCACTTGGGCTGTTTCCAAGCTTTAGCTATTACAAACTGTGCCGCTATAAACATGGGTGCGCATATATCGCTGTGGTATGATTCTTTTAATTCCTTTGGGAAGATACCCAGCAGAGGAATAGCTGGGTCAAATGGGACCTCTAGCCCTAGTTCTTGGAGGTATCTCCATACTGATTTCCACAGTGGTTGCACCAGTCTGCACTCCCATCAACAATGGAGAAGGGTTCCTTTCTCCCCACAGCCCCGCCAGCATTTGTTATTGGTTGATTTCTTGATAGCAGCCATTCTTTCTGGGGTGAGGTGGAATCTCAGTGTTGTTTTCATCTGCATCTCTAGAATGACTGGTGATGTTGAACATTTTTTCATATATTGTTGCTTTTACTCACTATGTATATAACCCAGGCTGGCCTCGAATTCTCAGCAAACCTCCTGCCTCAGCCTCCTGAGTGCTGGGATTACGTGGCGTGCAATATCATGCCTGGACATGTAATCTTTTTTTTTTTTTTCTGTTGTCTGTAAGGTCCGAAAGGCGCTGCGGAGTGCAGAGGCCTATGAGAATTTCCTGCGCTGTCTTGTTATCTTTAACCAGGAGGTGATCTCGCGGGCTGAACTTGTACAGCTAGTTTCTCCTTTTCTGGGGTAAGTGAACCAAGGGTTTGAGTCCCTGGTTGGTCTGGGGTGGAAGTGATGTAGTAATTGATCTGAGAGCATATGATGGGCAAAGTTAATTTAATTGAGGTATGTCTGTTGATTCAAATGTCAGTGTCAAAAGTCCTAGGAAGTCTTCTAGTCTAACTCTAGAGATGAGAGAATAGACAGAAAGTGTTAGAGGACCAGTTGACTAATGGCCAAAGACTAGTGGTCTCCTAGTCCTCTGACCATTGCTGGGTGTAATAGAGGTAGTCTCTCCCAGGGTTCTAGAATCTTAACTGTATTTGACAATCTAAGAATTATATGAACACTGAAGCCACATTCTTGGTCAAAAGAATGAATGACTGTTTGGTTATTGTCTACTATAGTTTCAGTGCTCTTCCATCAGCACCTTTACTGATCTGGGAACGTTCTCTAAGGAAAGGGGATCCAAATGCTTAGAAGCCTTGCTTCTTAGGTAGGAGATCGCTGTCCTTGGAATTTGTTCTTGGTCATAGAGTTGTAACTCAACACTGAGTGATGGTAGGTATACCTCAGGATAACTGTATTCTTCATCTCTGATGACTTACGAGTTTTTGATTAATTCTCCAGGAAATTCCCTGAATTGTTTAATTGGTTTAAAAACTTTCTGGGCTATAAGGAGTCTGTGCATTTGGAAACCTTTCCAAAGGAACGAGCCACAGAGGGCATTGCCATGGAGATAGATTACGCCTCTTGTAAAAGGCTGGGCTCCAGCTATCGAGCCCTGCCCAAGAGTTACCAGCAGCCCAAGTGTACAGGACGGACTCCACTCTGTAAAGAGGTAAGCTACAGCCCTAGATCCACAGTGTTCTCCTGGAGGAAGTGGTGGTGATGGGTTTAGAAAATTTATATGAATGACAAAATTAAGAACCTCTCTGTCCTTGTTAAAAACAAAAAGGTTTTGGGCCAGGGATTTAGCTCAGTGGTGCCACCACCTGCCTTACAAGTGCAAAGTCCTGAGTTCATTCCCTGGTACCAAACAAACAAAAAAAAGGTTTTGCACTTAGATTCAGAATGTTCACCTTACTAGTAAACTTGCTAATGGTGGAGTTTATGAAATCATGCTGTTTCTTTCCCTCCGTAGAGTTTTATCTATCTTTTTTTTTTAGAATGCTTCATCACCAGACTGCTTTTTTAGACTTTTGTTACAGTCTGTGTTTCCACCCACAGGTTTTGAATGACACCTGGGTTTCCTTCCCATCATGGTCAGAGGATTCCACATTTGTTAGTTCCAAGAAGACTCAGTATGAAGAACATATTTATCGTTGCGAAGATGAACGCTTTGAGGTACACGCCACTTTATCATTTGAAGTATGGAGAAATGGGAGGTGCTGAATGAAAGAGCATCTTACATACAGTCTGTGAGGCTTGGCTTGTTGAACAAGAAAAGAGCCAAAGGCTCACATTCTTCTGTGGTAAATGTTTGTTGCAGCATTTACTATCCCTTATGGATTTGTTAAGTAATACTAGTAAAATATGGCAAATGTGAGTTACCTAAGCCACTTTAACCTTGAAATGGTCCATTGATGAGTGAACAACAATCCATTTGTTTTGATTTGCATTTATATTTTAAAGATTATTGTATTTTACACAGTGTAGGTCAGTAAAATAATATCTTAAGGCCTGTAAGGGCTTTCTTGAGGCTTTTTTTTTTTTTTTTTTAGTACCGGGCATCGAACTTGGGACCTTGCACTTGCGAAGCAGGTGGCGGAACCACTGAGCCAAACCCCCGGCCCAAGGCTCTTTTTTGTTTTTAGACAGGGTCTTGCTGTGTAGTTCAGGCTGTCCTTGAACTTACTATATAGCCCAGGCTGGCCTCAAACTCAGAGCAGTCCTCCTGCCTCAGCCTCCCACATACTGGGATTACAGGTGTGTGCCACCATGCCTGGCTTTAGGCTGCTTTTAAATGATTTTAGGTGTCTGTGTTACTGAGTTCTTGATTTGGTAAGCAACCATCTCTGCTGTGAGAACTGGAATTTTTTTTCTTATTTTTCTGGTACTGGTTTGGCTTCTCCTCAAAGAAAGTTAAATTAGGACTTCATTTTGAAGTAGTTGGAAGAACTGGAGTGTATGAATGAGCAGATGGAGGGCCCATATATCAGAAGAGGAACTACTGAAAGTGGGCTCAAAATCCTCCAGTGTTCGGAAATTTAGTTCACTGATACACCATCTCCAAAGGAGAAGTATGTCTACAGAGCTGAAATTAAATATATCTGATTTAATATATTTATTGAATTGGCTGATTTTGCTTATTCATGTAGATTGGCATGTGACTTACTCTTTTATCCACACTGGTTAGGTTTCTGCCAGTTTCCCCCATCAGACTTGCTTCAGCTGTTTCCTTTGTGTTCTGTTTTTTTTGGGGGGGTTTCTTGGTACTGGGGATTGAACTCGGGCCCTTGTGCTTGCGCAACAGGCGAAGAAACCACTGAGCTAAATCCCTGGCCCGCCTTTGTGTTCTGAATGAAGAGCCAAATGCTGCCTGGTCACAGGCACATGGTTGGCCATCTTTGCTTCCAGCATTTATGAGCAGTTTCAGTTGTCTGCAGAAAACAAAATCATGATACACATTAACTTCAATGGGGAGTTTCATCAATTTAAAGAAAGCATTTCTTTTTTACCTATGTTAGCAATGTTAGGTAATAGGTTAGAAGTTCCTATTCTTTCTCAACTTGTATGCCTAAAAATAAGAGGGAACAACCTCATTTTCCTTCTGTGCCTACAGATAAGGCAAAAGGAATGAGGTGGTTTTGTGTGCTTAGGACTTGGCTAGACAGGCTAGTTTGAAGGAGCTCCTGGGTTAGAAATGCTACAGTACAGAAAACTCCCAGATCTCGGTGATTTACTTCTTTTTTTTTTTTTGGTACCGGGGATTGAACTCCAGTCCTTGCGCTTGTGCAGCAGGCTGTGAAACCACTGAGCTAAATCCCCGGCCCTAAATTCCTTTTTTTTTTTCTCGGGTCCTTGCGTTTGTGAGGCAGGTGTCGGAACCACTGAGCTAAATTCCTGGCCTGGTGATTTGCTTCTTGATCATGCTACATGGTGCATTGGTGTTTGTTTGTTTGTTTCTCAGTACTGGGGATCGAATTCAGTAGCTTGCGCTTGGGAGGCAGGCATGGTGCCACTGAGCTAAATCCCTGCCCTGTGCATTGGTGTTTAGCAAGGGAGTTTGCTCATCAGAGTAACTTGGGAACCCCCAGGCTGTCAGAGTGTTCCTATCTCAAATATTGTCTCTAGAAGCAGGAGTGCTCAGCAGGATCTCCTACCCTTAAACACTCCAGCACAGAAGTAATAAACAGATCTATCTGACCTCACTTTGCCAGAACTAGTCACATGACCCCATCCAGTCATCTGAAAGCCAAGCAGTTCAGTCTGTTATTTGTCCAGTATCTAGCACAGTCCCCCCCCCGCCCCCCCAAAAAAACTTAGGAAATACTTCACGTGTTTAGGTGTAGGCCCGTGAGACTGCTAAGTTTTTGTTTTTCATTTAGAGAATCTTGTGTTTAAGAAGAATATATTCAAAGGTTGCCTGTCATGTCTTTAACCAGTTCAGTAAGAACTCAAATATTAATGCATCCATACAACTCTAAACTTCAGAAATGATAATCATTTATGTTCAATGTGTTCGTTACTACTAGATGTAAAACAATCATTGAATATTTATTTCAAGCTACACTAAAAAGCTTCCTCTCAGCTTGTCATGGTGGTGCACAGCTGTAATCCTAGTATTCTGGGAGACTAAGGCAGGAGGATTAAAAGTTCAAGACCAGTCTGGGCAACTTTATGAGACAAAAGAAAAAGTTAGAAATGGTCTGGGAATGTCTGAGGTGTGATAAAAAAATATAGTGTTTAAATTAAAACATTTACTATAATAAAATATTCATTGCCATTAGTCCCTCTAAAAGTCCTCCTTCTCACTTCAAATACACTTATCTCATCATTCTTGCTGCCTTCTGAAGTGGTTCTGGAAGTTCTCTTTCATGAGTATCTTTAGTTGTAGTGTTTTGGCTGCCTGGATGTCCTGAATCTGTTCAAAATGTTTCCCTTTCATGGTTATTTTGACTTTGGGGAAGAGCCAGAACTCGAACAGTACCATATCTAGTGAATAAGGCAGATGAAGGTGTCCCGTCATGTTTTTACAAGGCTGCCTTTCCATTGCGTGGCATTCAGCAGAAGTGGTCACCTTTTTGTTTGTTTGTTTGTTTTTGTTTTGTTTTGTTTTTGGTACTGGGGATCGAACTTGTATCCCCTTGTGCTTGCAGGGCAGGTGGCAGAACCACTGAGCTAAATCCCTGGCCCCTGCTCACCTATTTTTGACCACACCTCATTAAGACAGGAAAGAGGACTTCCAGAACTCTTCAGAAAGTGGCAAGAATGAGGGATAAGTGTGTTCAAAGTGAGGGGTGGGTAGTATTTTGAGGGGGGTTAATGGAAATGTCTTTTATTGTAATAAATTTTAAAATAATAATTTAAAAGTGAACAACAATCCATTTGTTTTGATTTGCATTTATATTTTAAAGATTATTGTATTTTACACAGTGTAGGTCAGTAAAATAATATCTTAAGGCC